GATGTAGATTAAACACTAAACGATTCAACAACCAGCCTATTTAGAAGCAACCTACAAATCGAATAAGATATTTCTCGTAAGGGCTACTTAAAAAATGAGGTATACACCGAGGCTCCGACTAAAATGATTAATAGAAAGGATCATGTCATCGCTAAATAATAAAATATCACCAAATACAATGAACGATCTAAGACAATCGTTCCTTTCCTCTGGCATTTATTTTCCATCACAAAAAGCCACAATAATTTGAAGATACAAAAGTTAGGTGGGACACCCTGTAAATACCGAAAACACGGTCAACCCATTCACTGCCAACTACGAGATGTCTCGCAGTTCAAATTGATTGCAATTACTCAAGGGTAAAGTTTATAGCTTTTCGAGTCATGAATTATTGCAACAGAAGATCATAAATTTTCTTTCTAAAAGAACAAATTAAGTAACAATTTGTATTATCATAATAATAACAGGCAGTTAACGTGTTAATAGATTCCTATGAATCGATAGAAATAGCAGTTATGTCCACTAACGTTTCGCTGTAACAAAAGTATTCCTTGCTGGTCCAAACCCAAAAAAAGAATTACTGGCAACGTAATGCAATAAGAGCGCGGGGGATAAGAATAGGAAAAGCAGGTAGAGCCACGAGGCAAGAGAGAGAAGCATAAAAGCGTGAAAGAAACGGGAAAGAGGGTGACAGGATGGAAGAGACGTGGAAGGAAGGGGGATTAAAGTGATCCGGTGAGAATCAGGGCGGAAAGACAACGTGAGTTAAGAGATTTATTAGATCCCGGATCCGAAGTATTTTAATTACGGACAGAGTAACGCAACGAAAAGCGAAATTATTTTCCCACGGCAAGGGCGCGGGAAATAACGTTAACAGTTAACGAGTAGTTTCGATATCGACGTTCCGCCATCGTAATGGGGTACTCGCGACGTAAGGATGGTAAAGTGGGTATTAAACGCAGATAGAATAGCCGGGTGAAGATAAGGGGTAGGAATTCATGGTGCAACGAATGAAATGAGATGTAAATACGGTTTATTTTTCAACGGTCCACTATTTACCCCTTATTACTTTCGATGCACCGTAAAAGGGAGCGTCGTTGGCCGTTGGAGGGGATGCGTTTCGAAAGTAAATTACGCGGAAATATTTCCGGCGTACGTGATACCATTGCGTGGAGGAAGATCGTTAAAGGCTTTGCGAGACCGAATACAACGAACGCGTTTGAAAGCATCTTTAACGCTAGCTTTACGAAGATTTCGTATCAAACTTTTATTACTGAAGTAATACTAAAGTATTACTGATGTAATGAAATACCAAAGCAAGTCCCAATTTCCAACGCGTTACCATTTACTTAGACTTCGCTGGAAATCTACTTAAAATAGCAAGAATCGGTCATCGTTAATCACCGTAATCGGAAATTTCCGTTCGAAAAATTTCCCCGTGGAACGTTAGCCGTGTAAATATTGAAATTTCATCCCACAAATCATGCGAACGTTTTTCCAGCAAGAAGTTCGCCTTCAAACGCGCCCTTTTTCCCTGGCCACAGAGCCCCACGCGCTTTGCACGAGCCGGAATATATACATCTTAATAGGAATGGACAGTAAAGGGTGAACTCCCGTGCAAAATTTATTAAAACCCTCCTCTCTCTGTCCGGTTAACCGTCCAGAAAGCGGCGAGCGTACGTGAATTAAAGGCAACGACATGCTGAACATGTCCTATATCTGGTGTGTCAAAGGAACCACCCAGCGCAGAGTTAACAGGGTTAGATCCCGTCCCCGTAAAGTCGCTGGAGGCCCTCCAGTCGAGGGTAATTAAAAAGAATGACCACGAACAAGCTGACTAAATTTAGAATTCGGTGGCGAAAGCGCTCGCCGAGTTCCACGGACACCGATCGATCGCTGCTATCTAGGACAATTCTTCCTCGAGATTCGACATCGATTTTTGACCCATTGTGAAACGTCTGTGTCTGCCTCTTATAACAAAAGCGATCTCATTTTCGTGACGAACGATAAAGTAACAACTGAAAGTCTAAGTACGTGTCACTTTTCGTGATTCAGAAACGGGGGTTGAGCTTTGATAATTACGAAAACTCCCACTAATCCTTGTAAAAAGCCTCGATAAGTCGAATTTTTGCTTATTAAACCTTTCATAGACAAAATTTCGATAAGACGAAACCACCATTACTCGAAGATTACAGCTCTTCCATTGATGTTTGTATCGCCGAGGTTGTACTGTACGTTTTTTTTCTCTTTTACACGTCATATTCTTATCCCGGCGTTCTCTGGCACCCCAGTTAAGGATGCCAGAAGTCCTTGAAGGCCCAATGGCCCTAGAAGAAGCTCGGATACCTCGGGTACGGCCAAATCCGTACTGCAGCTGCGGCCAAGAACAGCTACAGCCCCTGAGAGCAACCCTTTGCGACACTAAATACTTAACAACTTCCGTTGAAATACTATAACTAACAAGAATTACACGAAATACCATTCTTTATCACAGTATTTTGCGAAACATAACGTCAAGCCAGAATTACACAAAATACCAGTCTTCATCATCGTAATTTGCGAAACGGCACTTTAAAGTTAGATGGGAGAGAGTAATTATATTAATTAAGAGGGTAATTAATTCGAAAGGTTTGGCCGATAGCGATAATAAATCATTCTTTGTTGACCAGTACATATCGTTAAGCCCTTCATGCACAAATGTACGGATACGGTTACAGATCTAGCGACGCTCGTTCTGTTAATGGCATAATGGAATAATAAATATCAAGTACATTTCATCTGTGCTCGTTAAACTGTTTCTGCCTCGAGTAAATTAAACTCGTCTTCCGTAAGTTTAGTATTGGAAATTTCAAATTTAAGAATATCGCTCATTCGAACTATAAAAGAAAATCCATAATACTTGAGAACAAAAATGCAAAGAATCGGAACGTTTAAGAATTATGGCAGAGTATTGATAAATTTTAACAGAATCCAATGATATTTGCAAAGCAAAAACATACATGCTCTTATAATTATAACTTCCATACAGGAAATCACTAAACTAGTAATAAAATCGCATCAACTTTATAAAAAAAAACCCTATTTAGAAGGTTAAGTTACATATTAATTTTTGTAGTGAATTAATATCAATGTAAAAGAAACAATCATCACTTTCAGAATGTACTGAATTTATAAAGTCATTTCATGAATATTACTTATAAATATGCCTTATAATATGAAATTATCTTTCTTCAAGCACCATGCATATTCGCCTTAAAGTTCATTAATGCATCATTTAGTAACTAAAATCGTTCCATACATTTTGATAACTCAACACCATTTTCATCAAATTACTGAAGATGCTATCAGAATCCTATTGTAACAAGAATTGAAACAAAACGTTTAACATGCTTACCATTTCTTTTACTGCTGGTAACTAGAGATAACTAGAGACCAGAGGATCCGTACTGCACTCTGCTGGTCTCTACTGCAAACTACTGATAGCAATGTTCCTAATTCAGTGAGGACTTTTTCTATACGCTATACGACAGTTTAGATATTTTATACTCATTGACTAAAAGATTATATTTTACGTTATATCGTAACCTACTATATGAACTTGTGTGAATTTGTGTGCATCATGAAATTTCGATTAACTTCATTAATTTATAATAAATGTAAGAGCATTGTCCTTCAAGACACCAGAAATTATGCGGGTCATAGCAAGTGGCAGAATATTAAACATGATAAGCAGGCAAAAGATATGGCAAGATCGAAATTATTTCGTATGTTAACTAACAAAATGAGGGCTACGATAGCAGGTGTGTTTTTTTTAAATACGACTGAAAGTACTAAAATTAATTCAGAAATATGAGTAAAATTTGAAGAAGAAACATTTTTGATCGTGTTCAATGTAACTTTTCACTATTTAGTATTTATTTAAACTAAATCGAATTTTCAATGGGAGGAAGCTTAGTGATGAAAATAAAAGTTTATAATTTTTCTTTCCAAGAGACCGGAGTTTCAGATCCAATTAAAAATACGAAATTGGCACAACTTATCAATCAAGCTAGAGGTGTAGATATGCCTTTGGCTACCATAAACTCAACTTTAAATAAGATAAAGAATAAAGAAAACTTTCGCTTTGAGATAATCCCAATTCGTACTCCAAGTAAATGCACATTAGTGTTACACATTAACACTGACAATATTTTTAGAACAAAATCACATATTAATGGTATAATAAAAAAATTCAAGTAAGTATTTTGTTCCCTTACATTTTGTTTTAATTTTCAATCTACTAATTTTGAATAAACAGTTCTAAATATGTAGATGCTTCAGCACTCCAGATGTTTGAATGTCTAACTATAATCATAGCTTCGAAAAACTGTAATTTAGATCAAGCAGTGGAAGATGCAATCCAAATTAATTCACAAGATGTTGAAGAAATACAAGACGATGATAAAACATATTTTCAGGTATAGGAAATCAATTCTTTTAACTATTCACATTTCATTGTGTTAAATTTACATTTTTGTTTTTGTTACAGTTCAAATGCGAGTTTCTATCGTCTGATAAGAGTAAAACCCAGCTAATGAGTTTGGGTTATTCTATAAGTTCAATAGAAGATACATGTATAGCTCAAACTACCGTTGAATTAAACGAGGACGAGCTTAATAGTGTAAATAAACTAAAGGAAAAACTTATACTTGTAGATGGAGTTGAGAAAATAGAGGATAACATAGAGGAATCTTAAATTAAAATTAATCCTTTTAGGATGAAACAAATATTTACTAAATTGTCAATCCTTTCTTGTAAATATACTTTATAAAATAATTATTATTGTCTGTAAAAAATTAGCATCGGCTCAAACTAAATAAAATATTCTGTATAATTACAGATCGCCTGTTTATTCCATGTTCATAATAAATATTGTTATGAATCATTTTACATAAGTGAAGTGATATTATATACAACACATTTTAAATATATCAAATTTTATATAAAAAGCCTATTCACTCCTTTATTGTATATCAACACCATACCCCTTTATTTCATGTACATTAGAACCTGGAAAATGTGCAACAGAGTTTCTATGAAAAAGAGATCTAAACAAATGCCTTTTTGACATTTTTGCCTTTTCACTCCATGAATTAAACGTTTCATTTTTTGTAGTATTCGGTGTATTGGCAGACGCATTTGTTACTTGGTTTACAGATTCTTCTTTTAAGGATTCCATATCATGAATGGAATTATCATTGTCTGGAATAGACTCATCCATCGATTCTTTATGTTTCTTTTTCTTTGGTTTTCTTACTTTAGGAGTAAGTTCACATACAACATTTGCATTTTCTTTATCAGAGATTTCCTTTTCGAATTTCGTATTTACAATTTCCGTACTAAACTCGTTTATATCTACATCAGCTTTCATTTTCTTTTTCTTTTTTGATTTTATCGTTTCTACTTCTGCCTTTTCAACATTATTTGGATTATTAACTTCTGTTTCAATTCTAGAGATTACTTCTCCGCGTTTCTCTACACTTAATTCAATATTTTTCTTTTTCTTTTTCTCTAGCTTATAGGAAGTTTCTTGATCTTCCTGATTATAAAGTTCATCTCCTTTCTCAAATGTTGTCTTTATGTCTGTATCTACTTCTTTTGTACTTTTTTCTGTATTATTTTTACAGGTAGCAACAATTTCTTCTATTTTCTCTATCTTCTTCTTCTTTTTCCTTGCCTTTTTGCTTGAAGGATTTTCTTCTGGTATGGAATTATCAAGTATATTCTCTTTTTGTTTATTTTTCTTAATTTTAATTCCACTTTCACCAGTTTCTTTATCTTCCTCTGGAATTTCTACAATTGTTTCCAGAACAGATCGACGGTTTTCTTTTCTCTTTTTAGAACTTTTACTTTTTAATTCATTAATTTCATTGTCATGTAATTCTTCAGACATTTCTTCAATATTTAAAGCCTCATTAATGAAACAAGATGATACATTACTATGAAGATTATCTTCATGTTTTTTTTTCTTTTTAATTTTCTTATTTTCAACCTCAAATTTATCTAGTGTAGCTCTTTCTTTCTTCTTCTTTATAGAATCAGTATTATATTCTACATAATCATTGAATGTTACTCTTTTTTTATCATTTATCTCATCATCTAAGTCTAAAGCAGAATTCGTAATGCCTAGTTCTGTTCTAGATACTTCAAATTCCTTCCTACTAAAAACTTCGTTAGGTGGACCTTCTAAATCTAGAGCAACATTTATAAAACCATTCTCATACATACTCTTATTTATATCACCGTGTTTACATTTTTTAGAATTATAACTTGATTCATTGTACTCAGAAATCTTTCTTTTTTTAGAAGATTTAATTTTGCTACTAGAATTGCAAATATTTTCAGGACTATTTAATGTTAAACAAGGATTTTCAAAAGCATACTCGCAAGTATCTTTTGTTCCTTTCATTTCCTTATTGCTATGAGATTGTTCTTTGTTAATTGTTGATACAAAACCAAATCCAGTATACTCAGGTTCACTTTCTGAGTTGGTATCTTCTTGTTTTTTATTTTTAGGCATTGCAGAAAAATTCTGATATTTTTTCATAAAATAATCAGTCATGTTACCACCATTTATAGTGATAACACCACCTCTATTTTCTTGAGAACCAACTGAACTTGGTTCAGAATTTTCCTGATAATTACTTTCATCCTCTTTAATGTTATCACTTATGTTCAACTCTTTCTGACCAAATATATTGGCTAGATCTTTTGAACTGTATTTATTTACATCTTTTCCCCTTGTGAATTTTTGATAGCTAATAATAAGGATTTAAAAGTAGAGAAGTCTATACATGTATATATGCTTAATGATTATTACACAAAGTACTTACTGAACACGAGCTCGACTGAACTTAGATTTCAACTCCAATGATTTTCCACTTAATTCACTTCTAATTTCCTCTTTTTGTATTACAACATGACTTTGACTTCTTTGTAGCTCTTGTAAAAAGTCATTAAAACCATCTTGATGTTCTGTCCATGCTTTATCTAAATGATCTTTCTTAAACCCAATACCTGTAACAAAAAAAAAAAAATCTCAAGAATTCAGTGTATACCAAAACATTGAAGTTAAAAACAATAAAATATCTAATACTCTAACCGAGTGTAATAATTTTAAGAAATAGCAATGATTTTTCTTTTAAGCAATTATAAGTTTCTTTTTCTAAGTGTCACTTCCCGCGTATAGTAAGTTTCATTTCTAGGTTAGGTTTGATACATCCATGATAAACTTTATAAAGAAATCGAACCATTTGTAAATGTACACATTACCCGCAGTGTCTTCTTTAACGGACACGCGCACGTGCTCGGTAATTCCCTGTTCGTTTGCTCCAAGTCCTTTTCCACTCGTCCAACCCATTTTCTCCAACATTTTCTGCCCAAATTTGTTCGAGTCTGTAAAGAAATATCCACACGTTTGCTGAATTACATTTACTAAATATCTGTGAATCGTACTGTGCAAGTGTAAGTTTAAATGACCTCTGAATTAAATGGATTTAAATGTACGCGTACCTTCGCACCATTGTTTTCCTCGCGGGTTCAGTGTCCATTTTTGTTTTCGGCGCGGTTCTGCGAGCATCGACATGTTCACTGAACTCTCGGATTGACACTTATTTAAAGTCACGGATCGAACATCTGTCGATCAGTTGTGGGTACTTTTGAACAAGTGAATTACTTTCTGGTAAATGTTTCACGAAATCAAAGAAATTTTGAGAAAGTTTCAACACGACTCGAAACAAACGAGCAAGGAAAAGCAACAAAAAGCAACGAACGTGGTCTTACTGTGGCCCTACGACAGTGTCGCAAGTGACACGACTCTGAACTAAAAACGGTGCAACCAGAAAGACCACTGCTCACTAAGCCGCTCTGTGAGCGGGTGAGTTTACAAATTTCTCGTTCAAACATAGCGACTTTTCCCTGGTATCTAGCTATCAATTAAAACGAATTTGCACTGAACTATATTAATACAGGTAACACTATATTATACTGGTTTTAGTATTAGTGGCGCCATCGGTGGAAAAACGCCCAAGTTTGTAGTGAGAATAGTTCGCACTGTTAGCTGCTAAGTAGCGCCACTGACTAAAGAGTCGATAATCTATTGCTACAATTTATAAAAATGATAAATTTGGCATATTAATACATGCTCTTACCATTTTATTATTCTGTACATTTATTATTCTATTTAAATTGAAGTTACCTTTAAAAAAAAATTCGTGTACGTTACGTTTATTGCAAATAGTGATTATAGATATACAGTCTAAATTCGTAGACCCGGGTACATATGTAAAAGCAGATATTGAAACAATATATTGTAGTGTTATAAAGCAAAGAATGGTATTAATTATGCATTTACGAAAAATAAAGAATAATTTATTCGAATGTATTAGTGGCGCTATCTTATAGAAACGGTAGGAACTATTTTCACTACAAACTTGGGCTTTCTTCCACCGATGGCGCTACTAAACTAAAAGGTCGATGATTATTGCTACATTAAATAACTATTTGTAACATTAACAAATTTTACATATTAACTAATATATTATAGTGTTATAAAGCAAAGGTTGCATTAATTATGCATTTATGCAAGAGCTTTCTGTAAAACTACTGTAACACAATTAAATGTAGCGCCTAAGTTGTGCGCGTTTACAATTTTCGATTTAAATTTGAATTCTTACAGTGTATCGTTTTACAAACTTAGCTTTATTTTACTCAAAAACATAAAATTCCCGTAAAGTTGTTACTATAGTTTCTCTAACATATGAAATCCATCACGTACACAACATTATGGTTCACTACTCATTTTAAACGGTGTTTGTACTTTGAATCGAGATTATAAATGAATGCGAAACAGTATTATCAACGTCATCATGCCTATTTACCTTTGAAAGATACCGTAACTTCTTCGGTTCCAAATAAAGCAGACGAGGCGTAAGAAAATATAAGAGAGTCTGAAATCGGAATCGTTGATAGTGATCACTGCAGCTCTGAGTCACTGAATCTACCGAACAGTATTTTTGAACTACTGATGTTTTCGAATGCTTGGAATGACTTTATCGATTAATAATTTTCCACCAAGTAACATCAGATTACAATTACAATTACCAATTTCTTATTTTTTAATATAATCCCAAAATCCTTCATTTTCATTCATACGTCGATTACAAACTCTTTGTTTATACGTTATTCCAGTAACCTTTTGTTCACGCTATAGTTTTATTTTAAACATTTCAGTCAGACTATTTATATATTACACGTTTTAAATTTAATGCAAATTTCTTACTATTACTCACAGAGTTTGAAAACGACTCATCCCAAAGCTCGTTATAAAGATTGCAAGTGTATGCAAATTCTCTGCGTTTACCAAGCTCTACTAACGTTTACACGTTATTTAGCCAGAATTTGTCCTATGTTTTCGTTAAGTGTATTAAATGGCTCCTTCAGCACGTGTATGTTATCTGGTTGGTAGTTGAACCGTCATTATCAAGGAGCAAACGGGGGACTGCGGCCGATAAGGGCCATCTTCCGTTTGTCAAGTAGACGCTCGTCAAGTTTTCATTCGTTAGTATTGCTCGTGCTTCCGTTTGGAAGGTCTGCCGCGCTGGCTCGTTGCCCGTTAACGGTACGCGTTTACTTTCGTTTACCACAGAAATTTTGCCGACCTCGAACAAATAAAAAGGATCCAATTTCTATGCAGCCTTCTATCGTACTAACTGAAGCGCCCTTCCGGTTCCGTCGTTAAGGTACCTCAGAGATGGGTGAAATTTTATTCGAATAATAATACCGAGTAAAACCAAACGTAGAGATATAACAGACTGACATCTATCGTTTACTCGATCCAACAGTTCAATTTTTATTCGCCCATCGCGAAATATTTCATTCTGTAATTCAAATGTTAAGTTTCATTCAACTGAACATTTTTATCCAAACAAAAGTTGTATCTACTCTGTAGTAAAATCATTTCTTCCTGATTCGAGCTCGTAATTTTGGTTGCTTTTCGATATATTTAACCGAAGACATTCTTGAAGTACAATAGTAATTTACGATTGGAGTGATCTTATGTACCCGCGAGTCTGGTAAAATAGTAGTGATGTATCGTGAAAAAATGACGGTGCACGTAGCTGTATCTTTGTTTATGTTGCGATATTGAGAAAAATTAGAGCCAAGGTATTGGAGTTTTTGGATTACAATTAAAGTGGAATTTTGTGTTTAATATCATACTAACGCTTAGAGGATCGATTCTTAATGATTGTGTCGCGAAGATGATTACGACTATGCAGTGAATGTTTGACAACAGATCTAAGGAATGTTTATGCACTGAAAATGCGTCTTTGATAATTAGAGGCATACGAATTTTATCAAGAGAAACATGTTTTATCCAAGAAAACAGTGTCATAACTTGTTTTCAAAATTGAAATTCTTTTTCGATCAATTAAAACTGCTCTCGCTATCGCAAGTAGAATCTTCATTATGTGAACATTCTGTTATACAAACCGTATGTGATACGATTAAGAAACTTAAATGTTGGGAGACTTACCATTATCGATATAAAAGAACAGAAATGAAGGAGCACCCGTAAGTAGATAGATTATTAGGTGAAAAATTTCGAGACTTTTGGATCCATAAATTTCATTCATTAATTTCGTTAAGAACGCAGTTTTAAGCATTTCTTTTTTATTCTATTTGTATTCACTTTGTTTTACTCTTTCTTAAATATTAACTAAAGTACGGTGCTAACCACTCGTTGTTCAATTGTACAAAAATTCTTCTACCTGAACACTTTTGTTCTCCGAATTCGGAAGATACTACTATACATCGAACACGTGTTTATTTAATGACGTTAAGTAAACACGTGTCGGTGAATGTAACGTTACTCCGAAATACGGCGACACGTGTTCGTTATCTGGATTCTACTATTGGTACTCCTAGTTCGCTGTTTATGTAACAACACAAACCACGGTTCCATAATATATTCTAACTGCGCTAACCGTATAAGGAGATTTTCTGATAACGAGGTTTGTTAAGAATTTAGGAAGCCTTTGCTATTACAACGAGCATAAGGTCATACGTAAGATGCTCTCACAAACAGTCATTGGGCTCACAGATCAAATTTCATAAACTATTCTATGTAACTATGCAGAAAACTTTATAGAGATTATAAAATTGTTAAATTATAAATTATAAAAAACATTTAACGAGAAATCTATAAGAATAATAATCGATGGTAGATGTTATTTCTTCAGTACGGTACGTTAATTCATATAACTTGTTCCAGATAAATGAAATGTCGTACTGTGTTACACTAGCAAGTAATGATAAGACGAATGAAAATAATTGTGTGGAAATATGTATAGATCCAGTTTAGTAACTAATGTTGTATAGTTAAGCACTTCAATAATTATATTCTCTATTCTATTTATAACTATTGCACCGCTAATACGTAATGTTTACATGGAATCCCTTCATTCAGTTATTAATATTCTACCGAAATTCACAATTCAGGGAGAGTCTTTAAAGATGAATTACGTTTAGTGCCACTCTTCCAGGACGTCGTCGCGTATGTTAATCCTTCGTTAACAGTTTCCATAAGGTCACGTTACTTTTCACATTTCAAAGAACGGCATATATGAGATATTCTCCACCGAAATTGTGAACGCGTGTAATACGTAAAATTGTATAAATAGAAATCGAATGGCAAGCATAGAGGATTATTTCGAACCCGAGTCCACCGTATACCGAGCTTACGTACTTAATAAATGCTACCGGCACGAATACACAGGTGACACAAACGAGTTTCGCCATACTTTTCCGTTAAGTTCCCAAAGGCACGGAGGTTGGAGGACGCGTCGTACGGAAACATGTTTGACCGCATAAAAAAGTCTACGGTTTTATTTTCCTCTGGCACGGATTAACCGACCGGCAGTGTCTGCTTTCAGTTGAATATCGAAGGAGCAGGGTCCAGCTCGACTGCCGGGAAAAATGGACACGATGAAACCCGGCTGGTTCAGCGAAATCAATGATCTGTGGCCAGGTGTCTCGTTGTCACTCGAGGTTGTCGACATACTCCATCGGGAACGGTCGCGGTATCAAGACGTGATGGTGCTCCAAACGTAAATATCGATTGTGGTTTCATGGGCAAAATTCTTATTCGGATAAACGAGCTTTTCTAATCATTGACTCGACATATGTCACGATCTAAAACGTAATATTTACGTTTGACCATGATTTAATAGATCGAACGAAAATGACCGATTGTTGTATGGTGTTTGTATCTGCGATCGATTATCGTCGTCTTTTTGCTTCGAATATGGTGAATAAAATCATTAAATTAAATAAATAAAAAGGGGAAAAAGTGGTTGAAGGGTGATATACAGTGTCCCCATTTGTCATCACAATTCACTTTCTGTTTTAATGTGGTAAATAAAATTGTGAAATAAAAGATGTAAAGAAAATGAAGAAATTATTCGATGAAAATTGTACCTGTTCAGAACGTTATATGGTGTTTCTATTCGTCATCCATTACCATCACCGTTTATTTTCATTCTAATATAGCGAATGAAATTGTTAAATTAAATAAATGAAAAGAAGTAAAAATGTTTGATAAAATAAACGTGACAAAGAAGCTGAAAAAAAAAAGAACGGAGAAGTTGTTTCGAATAAAATTTTGCCCATTTCTATTATAGTTCTTCCTTCGTGTCTAAAACAAACGGCTTTGAATTTCGGGTGACGTCAAAGAAGACGAAACATTTGCTCGTAGCTGACCTGCTGTTTTATCTACGTCGCTCTTGGGTTAGGGATCTTTGACAAATCCCAACAGTTCCTTCGAATCTCTGCCAGTATCAAAATGAAAAAATAAGCTCTGATTAGTGATAACAATTAAAATGTATCGAATAATTTGCTTGCCACCGAGAGTAAATACAACATCGATTTTAACGTATCGTTCTTGTTTGTGCATCCTTATCAAGGGAAAATAGCCGTGTTTAAAAAACAGATTAGTCCAAATAAAACGTATAAAATAAAAGATTTATATAATGCCATACTCACGTTAGTAAATGAAAAAAATAAAATGAAGTATTCGAAGATAAAACCGGGATCCGTTTCAAAAACCTAAAAACAGTTTAATGTGACGTGACGTTAAAAATAAAAAGACAAATTAATATGATCGTTACCGTATTACTAAGAAATATTTGTAAGATTGGACAAAAACGAAGCAAGAATAGAACAAAAGGAGGAATTAAAAGTTTACCGCAATTAATAGCTTTTATTTCTCTGTGTCATTTTTAGCAAAAGTAGCTATCGCGTTTCTATTGATTGCTTTCGTATTTTTAATAGATTCTTTAAGATGTAACGAACGTGTACCATTAATACAAATTTATTTTGTTTAAATTCGAAATTTTAAATAACAAAGTAAATGAACCTGAGAAGGAAGCACAATTAACGAATGGCAAATAATTTATAATGAAGAAACAATTGTTTCAATTTCATATATACAGGAAATCACATGGAAAGGCCCTAATTTTAGATGGTATCATACAATGCACGGAGAGAGACGAATTTTCATATCAAGAGGCGATCGCCTTTTTACCGCTGTGCAGCCATCCAAATCCAAAAACGGTAAGATTATATATTTAAACGAAGTTACTCGATATTTAAGGTGGCCGAATAATCCATTAAATGCAATAAATTCAAATTTGAATGTTAAATTTGAATTTAAATGAATTCATCTGACTTAACTTCGTTTACTGAATTTCGTGGCAGGTTTTAATAGTTGGAGGTGGAGATGGAGGGGTTGCTCGGGAAGTCGCGAAACATCCGGACGTAGAAGGGATCGTGCAAGTCGAGATTGACGAAAAAGTATTGGAGGTTTCCAAAAAATACTTGCCTCTGTTAGGCACAGGACTGGATCATCCTAAGGTCACTCTTAATATAGGCGACGGCTTTGAATTCTTGAAGAAACATGTGGGACAATTCGATGTTATAATTACGGACAGCAGCGATCCTGTCGGTGAGCACGTCTTTGTTATTCGAACAATTATTTCTGTACGTCCAAATAAATTCTACTGTTATAATCAATTCGATGCAACGCATTCGCAAAAAAAAAAAAAAAAAATAGCGCAAGTATTTCTGATCTCAGACATTCGTGAACAAAAATGATTTAGAAGTTTTTACGTTTAGGTCCAGCTGAGTGTTTATTCCAAGAATCGTACTTCAGCGCAATGAAAAATGCGTTGAAACCTGGTGGAATCGTTTGCAGTCAAGCAGGAACTGCATGGGCCAATCTCGATCACGTAACTCAAACTCTCCAACACTGTAAATCGGTGTTCCCGGTTGCATCTTATGGAATCGTGGCGGTGCCAACTTATCCTACAGGACAGATTGGTTTTGTCCTCGGCAGTTTGAGTGCCGTGAGTATCAATTTCCCATAAAATTAACAAAATACATTCCTGAAGCTCGATATCAAATTCAATTTAACCATGATCAATGAATCAGGTATTCGAATATTTTTTTCTTTCGGTAGAAATCGAAAGTTGATACTTTACATTAGTGCTTTGTAACTATTTTAAACTGACAACACGGTTACAAAAAAGATTCTTAGTTTTTCAAGTTCGTGACGTAGTTTAGAGGGATATTAATAACAAAAATTTAATTTTTCGAAAACGTGCGAAAATGAGGACAGACTAACGTAAGACCTCTGTTAATGATTTATTTACATTACTTTTAAAACTATATCTGTAAACATGGAAATAATTCGTGGTCTTGCTCAAATTGACTAAAACCGCAACCAATATGATATTAACTATTATTAAGTATTCCGGTGAAAATATTAATTTTCAGGAAACGAACTTCAAAGAGCCAAAGAAAGTTTTTAGTAACGTCGATCTGGATAAAATGAAAATGAAGTACTACGACGACGAAGTGCATCGAGCTGCATTCGTTTTGCCAAGGTTCATAAGGAAAGCATTGTACCAAATAGGTGACAACTATACAGTTTGCAAGTTGACCATAGAGAAAAAAAGGGCTGAATCTGATTGAATAAGAATATTAATTAAGACAATTGCATCATTGTTATTACATTATCACCAGCTGCATCGGAATTGCACGGAATCGTATTCACAACGATTAATTCATACTGAAACGAACAAGCTAGAGTCGTCTAATTAGCTAAATTAATTAATCGAGTGACTGTATGTATTGTGTAAGGCAATTCGAGGCAATGAGAATAACATAACAACAAGGTGTTAGAAATTCTTTATTACCTGAATGTAATAGGGCTAGTATGTATATTTGCGAACTTCACTGTAATATAGTAATAAAATAATATTTGTTATACTGATCAGCGTTTGCTGCAACTTAATCATAATAATTAATAATAAGAATGAAGGAATAATAATATAATATAATATTACAACTTGTATAACATTCCGCTATAATAATATACGCATAAGATTAAATCGATTGTTCGAAAAGTAACGATTGAAAATATTCTGTGTATATATTTGAATTGTCAAAACAATGCTGCAAATGTTAAAACTGTAAAGACGCCATCGTTGCTTGCTTTCTCTTTAATACATTAACGATATACATAGAATATATAATATATCATCTATCGCATAATTGTCTTGTATAATTCATTATCTCCGTCATTTATGTATATATACTTTCTTATATATCATGGCACACATCTATATAATAGGTATACGTATATAAAATAAAAATACGGTTGGCGATCGTTCTCAAAATATATGATACTAAATGCAATAATGTGTGTACGTGTAAATACACGCATACACGCACACATATATACATACACGTCGTTACTTTGGAAAAGTTCGATAACAAAAATCTGCTTTTCTTCGTTTCTTTTGAGACGATCTCTTTTCCGAAATAGAATTTTCCCGTTATTTTATTTTTATTATTGTGATCGTACTACCGAACATTAGTAAAGCATTTGACTTTTTGGTAATATTGAAAAACTTCTACGTTCACTACGAGCACGTGAAAAAAAAAGCGGCATCTCATAACAAAATAACACTCAGGCACTTTTCGTATTTTTTTTTCGCTTTTTAATAATCTTCCATCGTTCGCGAGGACACCCGAACATCGCGTGGAATACCTAACGTCTATTTACAATTATATCTTCGAAAGGCTAACAATAATTGCACTAATCGATCACTTGGAACAGGCCTGTTCTTCAACCTTTTCACCTATCCTATAAATCTCCAAGCTTCAGTGACTTCGCTAAAATATTTTTCTTTAAAAGCGTATATTTATTCCAAGCTTTGAACCTTTTTGACGTTTCTTCAGTAAAATTATGCAACGGTTTAACCCTTCATTAGAATTCGTTTGAGTTTTTCAAAGCTTCAGCTCGGATCCTCCAGCTGGAGGATTCGTGGAGTTATTCAAAGCACCACACTCTTTGATCATTCGAATTCTGACAAAATCCTGGTAAATTGTTTATAACCGTATCCTCGAAATGTGTTCGTGGGCCTCAGCCATTTTACTTTCAAGTTGAGTTGCGTTAAACTAACATTTTCATTTCTTTTCCGTTACCTCGTAATCATTTAGTTCCTTACAAACTTGCGAAAAAGCATACTTCGTGCCGTAATAAAAATAAATTGATCGTTATCTTTTTTACAATATAATACGTACTCCACCTTTCCCTTTCTCGCTGTTCCATCGATCACTCCTCAACCATCGCATCAAGTTTTACTCTATCAGAAGATTATTTTTATTCCAGCATGTTCTACGTCTCATTCATTCGGTACGCTATAATTTATAAGGTGTACATGTAAACTGTTCGTCGCGACTTCGCAAATTCAATTCAATTCTGACACTCCAAGTAAAAAATGTACGTATTCTATTCGACAGAAGAATAAGAAAATTCGAAATGAATCACGAGTGATGGACGATGCAAGTTCTCACAAGAGATTATTGAAGTCTTGGTCGATTAAATTCCATGGAATTGATTCTGGGAACAATGAGTTCCCCCACTTTATCTTCGTATAGAAATAAAAAGAACTCTGAATTACAAAATCTAGACGAATCTCACGATAGAACTGCGAAAGTCGTGGCAAATATTTGCTTTTTTTTTTAATACCCTGTACAATATTCCACTCGCTCGTTAAATATTTTTGTTGTCGGACAGCTCTGACTGAAAAAGGCTGACGTTCGATTCGTCGATGAAATTATAGAAAACGAGCCATCGTCGTTGAACGGTTGACGAAACACGCACGCAAACAGCAGGGAACAGCGAAACGAATATGTGTAAGGTAAAAAATACAGGCTCAAGCGAACAAATAGCATCCAGAACTAACAAAGGCAGGCTTAAAGATTAATGTTAATCCCGAGAAAAAAGAAAATGTTAAAGGGGGAGAGGATGAAAGCGACCGAGGGTCAACGCCACACGGTCTCGGTAAGTTAATAAAATTAAATGATATGTTGCTTCTCTTGTTAATCCGTGGCCTTAAACTTAAAATTACGATAAATTAGAACTAAATTAAATCGGACGTGGCTTCACTGCGGCGTTCGACGGTTTCTAATCGCGTGTCAACGGGAGGGCTTCGCCGATTTACAGCACGAAAGCTGTTTCGTTGTTGGTTGAACGAATATCTTTCTTATCCGTTACGTCGTTGTAAAATATTCTTTCAAAATATTATCAAAAATCAGGCGGCCATAGAAAAAGTTCTATACATAAACTCTTTGGTCGATATATAAATTTTTTTTTTCATAGTAATTCATCACTATAAATTACCAGCGACACTGTTAATAAAATTCTCAAATACATTTTAAAAAAGTTTCTCGAAAGTTAAAACATGAATATCAAATTATATCAAAAGATCAAGAATTGTTGCTTCGTATTTATACACGATTTCTTCATAAAAATCAGATTGTTAAACGAAGGATCAATCTTGCCTATTACACTAAATAAGTGTTCATTCGATAGTGAGAAAATGTTTCAAGTTCACTTGGGTGAACGGGACGGTTATTGTCCATTTGAATCGAGCCCATAATTCTTCTCAAAAAGGCTAACTTCGAAAGCACGCGTTATTTCTATCTAAGGACACTTCTCTATCGATTATCACAAAGATTATCATACAAAGGCGCCGAAATATATTTTAAAACGCTGGAGGCGAATCGTTTTTTAATTGACCTGATCGCTTTACGCGTTTAATCGTATGCTTTCAAATGGAATAGTTTAACTCTTCGTACCTTTGTGTTTAGGCAATCTCGGTTAATTTATTCCTTCTCGATTTCACTATACTACACGATACTACAGTATCAATATTCACTGACGTTAGAAAAACGAACGGGGCTCAGAAAAATGTGTATAATAGTTAATCCTAATTCTTCCGTGCTCCTTAATTTCTAATATCGATTGTCTGTCAGTAAGCAGAAAGAACAGACTAAATGAAAGGTTACCGAAAAAATGATCTCCGGATGCATCAATCGTAATATAAAACGTTGAATGAATACAAAATTTCAAACGTTTCGTATTCGTACGATATTCGCTTATACCCTCTACATTTTAAACGAGATCAACTACTTTGATTTCAAAAATCTCTGGCTTCTCAAATTACTTTCGTCGTTTCCGTATCGTCAGAGTAGATAAATTTCAGAATTACTTTAAAGTTGCAAGTATCAATTCTGTCTCTAAGCACGTGAAAATATGTACTTGGGTTAATATAATACGTTCAGAGTAAAAATAGGCAGTTAAATATGACAATATTTAGTTTTACCTACTCGATCAACGATACAATCAGCAATCGTGATCTGAAATCTCGTCTCCTGAACGTTTTCATGCCCAACCCCATCGATATTAATCAATTCCTAATCTCTTGTTATTCGTTAATCGATCTCGCCGCAGCTTGTCCTACCCAAAATCTGTCTATATAATAATTAATTACCATCAGGGACGCTTCTTTCCCTCTATTGTACAGAATATTACGAAGATCCTACGAGCAAAGTAAATTGCTCGATCGTGCATCAAACAACAATTAGTGATGCGTCCTCCACACTGTTCCGTTAGAAAGAACATTTGCTATTCAAAGACATCTTTATCAAGATGCTCGGCTCTCCAACTTTCTATTCCTAATTACGTTTCCCAGAATCGAAACGTCTTCGTGTCCGACTCCTGTCGACTGGACATGGTCGTGGTAACGGTTTTCTTCTCGGTGACCTTGTGCGTCGTTGACTGCTTCGTGGTGCGCTCTTCGTGGGCGTCGTTATCGATAGCTTTGAACGTAGACATCTCGTTACCAGAGGTCGCGTACTCTTTGGTCTCCTCCGTAGACACGAAGTTTGAACTAGAGGTCTTGCCAGGGGTGGAGGTGTAAACCTTCGTTGTGATCGTCTCCATCCTGCCACCAGGAATAACTTTCGTTTCGACGTTCTTGAAGGTCTGGTTCTGAGGAAGACCGCCGAAACGCTGTGCCTCTACATGTTTGTCGGATCGGAAGGTGCTCATGGGGCTGTGCCCTGAGAATCTATCCACGGAATCACTGTAATATTTTTGCTCCTGGTTCGGGGAGTAAGACTTCCGTTCGTAAGATCGATCGTCGGCGGAAGACTGTTCTTGGGAGTATTTCTCGTAAGAATGCTGCTGCTGTTGCTCCTGGAAAACCTTGCGCGTGGGCGAGACTGAAGAATAGGTCATGGTGTGTACAGGTGGATAAGGCCCTTCCATGTGTTTCCTCTCCGTGGTACCGTAACTCTCTTGATTGATTTTTCTCTCGATCGAGCTGTATTGTCCAGGTGTGCTGTCCGCGACAATTTGCTTGTCCATGGAATAAGGGCTATCGTTATACCTCTTCTCGACCAATCCGTACTGGCTCTCCATCGTGGATCGATACTGATTATCCTTCATCTTTCTTTCCAGGGTACTTTGCGTGGAGTGAACCTTCTCGGGGCTGACGAGGTCCTGCCTATCGGCAGTGAGTTGACTGATGGTGTTCGTCGCGGATTGCAGTTGCTCCAAATTGTGATTCATCTGCGAATTAGGATCGTAAGCTCTAGTTTCATACCTTGTCGTGTAACTTTCGTAGCCGCTCTGATCCCCTTCCGTGTCGGTGTCCCCCATGTCCGAACGATTCTTGTATTTGGCTTGTCGAATGGCGGTGAGCCTGCCTCTGGCTTCCTCGAGTTCACGCTCGATGCGTAGAACCTCCGATCTGGCGTTTATCTCCTGCGCGATTCCGCCAACCATTCTGCGATTCAGAATCAACGAGCGATCTTCTTCCTGCTGGATGGCCTGCTGCGCTGCTCTCACCAGGTTGTCGGTAGCGCGCTTCACAGCGTTACCTGCCGCCTGTAGACGCTTCGTGCTGTCGCTATCAGGGTCTGCTTTCACCTTGCAAGCCACTAACAGCTGTGCTGTGCTACTGGCGACCTGTTTCGCGCTGGAGATTAACTTCTCCTCGGAGCTGACACCCTGTACAAGGGCGTTCGCCGATTCCACGAGGCTGTGGGTCGCGGCTGCGACCATTCTCGCGGCAGAGATCAATCCTTCCGACCACTGGCCATCGTCGGAGCTGGTCAAAGGTGTTCGAGAGACTTTTCCTGTCGCTATCAGTTCTCTTTGAGCCGCGCTCGCTGCTTTGATGAGCGCTGATGTCGCGGCTGCGATCGATTTAGCCGCTTCTAGGATCATCTCGTCGAAATTCATGTCCTCGTTGGCCTCCTGTAAAATGAGAGATGAACAAACGAGGGCATATATTATTTATGTTGCGATCTTACTAGGTCTCAAATATCCTTAACAGCCTCGAGAGGGTATTCTAGTCTAGACTTAAAAAGAAATTTATTATTTGTTGACATTTTCTTAAAGCGTAGATCTTTAAAAAGATATGCGTCGAAGGATTTTGTTAAATTTAGATAATTAATCGAGTTATTAATTTAAAGAGAACGATGTATCTGATATGAAACAGTTTAGTAGTACTCATTATCTATCTTTGATAACTAAGGTTCGTAATGTTCCCAGTTTTTACATTTCCAATACTTCTTAATAGTACTTAGACACTTATATAATGAAAATAATTTAATTTTTTTCACTTCGAATAAACAAAGCGGCTGACACAGTAGCAACTATGCTTATTAAAAGGAACTGTACTGAGATCACAAAAATAAATACATACAAAAATAATTCATTATGTATTTAAAAAAAAAAAATTGAAAGAATATTTGAAAATTGACGTGATAAGCTAGAATACCACCTTAAGGTAAATGCATCGTGGTTCGTAATAAGGTAACTACATTACTATCCAACACGTTCCTGTGAATCTTACCCTACACGAACTTTCGTCGATTCCTCTGACCGCCATAATAATATGTTTGATTCCTGGTCGATTATTTAAAAAACAACCAAGAATATCAAACATATCTTACGGAAATCAGACTTGACCTTCAGTTCTTCGCACGATGCTTCCATTTCTCTTTAAATGCAACAAATGCATATAATAAAGAGAAAAAACAAAACTTTTTCTATAAATAAATGGTGTCGTGAAATGAAAACTAACTCCACTAAAAAGAATACTCGAAGCATCGATCTATTTTAAAATCCTCTCATCAGCGCCTGTAATAAATACCCTAGTACACATTTCAATAGAAGAAATACTACAACGTCATTTAAGAATTAACGTATGTATTAAGTTGTCCTAAAAGTTTCTTTCACGACTTACACTCGGCTGTTTTGACTAGCAGTGTTTATATTATCATCTTATCTCTTAGAAGATGATGTTACGATTTCGAAAATGAGATCTCTAATATTGAGATTTGAGAATCAGCACATCAAACATTATTGCTGGTTGATTCGCTGCGTGAAATCTAGCGGTGACCGAAACTCACCTCTCGAGTGCAAAGAGTTAATTCCCTAAAGTTGCATAAACATAAAGTACTGTGTATATTTTACATAGTGACAAAAAGAAAGAAACTTTTGTTCCAGCCATATCTAACGAGTATTTAAAAAGGACCGCTAATGACGACGTCGAAGAAGGCTCACCTGTATGCTTCTCCTTGGTCTCAGACTGGCGAGTTTCTTAGCAGCCGCATCGATGCTGGCGGCAGCCCCTAGCAGCTCGTTCTCCGCGATGACTTTAGGGTCGTCAGGGTCCACCCAATCGTTGCCCTTCAACAATTCGGCCACTGCCACCAACTCGGTGACGCTCTGGGCGATCTTCCGCGAGATCGGCGGCAAAGTGTGCTTGGCGTCGCCAGATCTTGACGCTATTTGGAGAATCGCTTGCAAGAGCTCTCTGTAATTGATCGCTACGTCGTGGCCAGCCTGAAAGGTCCTGTCCCTCAGCTCGGCAGTTTCCGCGCAATTGTAAGCAG